GTGTGTCTGAGGGAAGGAAAGCCGGCACCAAGTAGATGTCCAAAAGTCAGATTTGGGAGAACGGCCAGTTAAAAAAGAAGTAAATAAAACAAATCCCTAAGCAGTCCACCCTTGCCTCTTCAATGGCTGCACTTGGCATGCTGGCTCTAGATAAAGAATTCTGGCGGCAGAGGCTGGGGAGAAATTCTTTTACCCTCATTCACCCCTGTCTCCAACAAGGGGTCCATTATACTTAGGTTTCCAAATTCAGCCTAGAGCTCCTTCACTACAAGCCAAGCACTGTCATTCTTGTTAGAACGATGCCAAAGGTAACAGGACCAGGAATCCGAGCGACCAAATTTCATAGGCGACAGAGCAATTTGTCCTTTTCTGGCCTTGTCAAGTGTGGCTTCTGGGCCAGGCTTTCCCTCTTTTCTGAACTTTCATCATGATCCCTCATTCTGAAGAGGAGGTTGAGAACACGTGTCAAAAATGCCTTACTAATTTCATTAGTTTCACATTTTATTTACAGATACTGGGAGGTAGGAGCCTACTGGGAGGTAGACTGGAAAGCACATGCTTACCACGTTCAAGGTCCTGGGCTCAATTCCCAGCACCACCCAAAACAAACTGAGACAGTGACCAAAGACACTGTGTGCTTCAGGGGTGATTTTATTTACTCAGACTTCCTGGGAAGAGGCTGGCGGTGATTTTCCGAAGCCCCACAATGAGCCTTGTATTTTCCGTGTAGTTGTCATGTGCGTCCCCATTTGGCCGCGTTACTTGATTTCTAATTTTCAAACAGTGGTGTTCTAATGCTTTGGTAAGATCTTCATAATTTGGGTTGGTGAGATGGCTCAAAGATGGGGGCAAGACTGATGATGTGTGAGTTCGATCCCCGAGGCCCACATGGTAGAAAGAAAAAACCAACTTTTGCCAAGTTGTCCTCTGACCTCATGCACATTAGCTCTATCTATCACTTGCTATATAATAGTCTTTAACTCAATGAATATATATATTCATATATCTACTCAATGAATTCACACATTCAAAATAAAAAATATGGCTAGTGCAGATCATTCTCTAGACCAGAGGTTCTCAACCTGTGGGTTGTGACCCATCTGATAAACCTCTATCTTCAAAACTATTTACATTATGATTCACAACAGCAGCAAAATCACAGTTACAAAGTAGCAATGAAATAATTTTATAACTGGGGTTACCACAACACAAGGAACTGTATTAAAGGGTCGCAGCATTAGGAAGGTTGAGAACCACTGATTTAGACCATACACAACAATCTTCAGAGTCCTTCATGATTAAAGCAAACACTTGTATTCAGAGTACAGAAAGGATTTTTCTAACCCAGCCCAATGATACACACACAGTTGGCTGGTGAACAGCATACAAGATGATGAACAGTACTGGTGATAACGATTAAGACCGCAACGAGATGCCTCTACACACTGATCAGAACAGCTAAACTTAAAAAAGACTGACAAAGGGCTGGGGAAATGATTGACAGGAGCACTTGCTGTTCTTCCAGGAGGTGAGTGAGTTTGGTTGCCAGGACTCATACAGGGCAGCCACAACAGCCCATAACTCCAGCGCCAGGGGATCTGATGCCCTCTTCTGGCCTCTATGGATACTTGCATATACACAGAACATCTATGTGTACACACACACACACACACACACACACATTAAAATTTAAAAAAGGCTGACATCAGGTGTTGGTAAGGCTGTGGAGCAAATGGAAAATTGAATTCCCATACATTTACTAGATGGTGTGTATGAAGGTACAACCACTCTAGATAAGGCAGGCAGTGTCTTAGAAAGCTACCACACATATATTTATGATACAACCTAGAGAGTCCATTTCTAGACTTTATCTAAGAGACCCAAGATGTATACACAGAATAGAGTGGAGATTTGTAGCAGCTTTAGTCACAGCCCCAAAGCGGAAATGATTCAACCAAAATGTCCAGCAACAGGTGACTAAAAAAACCAACGACAGACAGGCACACCCATACAGTGGGATACTTAGCAATAACTATGGACACATGCAGCAACATGGATGAGTCTCACAACGATGCCACATGAAATATGCCAGCCATTGCAGTGTTCTATGTTATACTATTTATCTTAAACTCTAGGAAAAGACAGAAAAATGGGTTCTTTCCTACATTATTTCCTATGGGCAGGGTCTGGGTTGAGCTCTGACTGAAAAGTGGCTTAAGGACAACTTCCTAGTGATTGTGCTTTTAATTTTAAAGTTTTTAAGTTTTTCTACAAATGGCTTCCAGTTTTAGCCAACTGACCTTTCATTTCTTTTCCAAATATTGGCAAAGGTAGAATTTCACTTTTTGAACTCTCCACAGTTCTGGAGAGACTCAGCGTATCCAAGCTCTACCACAGACAGTAAAGCTGGCTTTCGTGGCAGAGCAGACGTTTTGATGGCTGCCAGTGACATACTCAGCGCAGACTTGTGTGCCTGCTTTAAAGAAAAAAGATTTTATTTATTCGTGTTTTACACGTAGGAGTGTTTGCCTGAATGTAAGTGTACTACAGAGGCCAGAAAGCGGGGTAGGGTGAGTTGGATTTCTTGGAACTGGAGTTACAGACAGTTACTAGTTATCATGTGGGTACTGGATGTGAACCCAGCTCCTCTAGAGGAGCACTGACTGTTCTTAACTGCTGAGCCATGGATCCATCTCCTGTGCCCTTTAATAAATACCTTGAGACATTACTTAGCCAACTGCTGTTTACTTTGTTAAACATCAGCCACCCTGCAGCATCTGGTGTTTCAGCTTCTCTTGGGAAACATTCAGTCATTCAGAAGGTCCCTATCTGCTATTCTGCAAGATTGTTATCTAAAAGATTTCAACTTTCCTCTCCTTGTTTGGAAACAGGATTTTGTTTTTTTAAAAAGTTACTATTTTCTAAACAGAAACAAAGAAAAAACAAAAACAAAACAAACAAGCAACAACAAAAAATCATTGTGGTGGTGCACACCTTTAATCCCAGCACTTAAGATGTGGAGACAGGCAGATCTCTCTGAGTTTGAGGCCAGTCTGGTCTACAGAGTAAGTTCGAGGACAGCCACACAGAGAAACCTTGTCTCAAAAAAACTAAAAACCAGCCTAGCGGTGGTGGCGCACGCCTTTAATCCCAGCACTTGGGAGGCAGAGCCAGGTGGATCTCTGTGAGTTCGAGGCCAGCCTGGGCTACCAAGTGAGTTCCAGGAAAGGCGCAAAGCTACACAGAGAAACCCTGTCTCGAAAAAAAAAAAAAAACCAAAAAAACCCCCCAAAACCAAACCCAAACAAACCATCATGAAGATACATTCAGATCAGCCAGGTTTTCTATAAAGGATGTAACCAGTTTCTGCTAATTGCTAAGCATTTACCCTATTCTAACTGCCTGATGATACAGTAAGGCACCAATAACATCAAGAAAAAAGAGAAACACAAAGTGAGTTTGTATGAAAGTATTTAATAGTTGGTAAAAGCACTAAAAAACAGGATTAAAAGACTAATTCCATTAATGAATATTTTCAAGGCTCATAAGTACCCCTCATTACCCCTGAATATTCTGGGAAACCACACACACAATGCACACAAATTAAAGCCTTTCAATATTCAGTATAGTGGGAAGTGGTTCCACTGTGATTCCAATTATTTAAAATTTAAACGTTTCAAAACAAAGGTAAACATAGACACATTTTAAAGACAGCATGCAGGTGAAGACGCCAGTCATGCCCTGTTCAGATGAGAACACGTGTCCCACACAGTAAAGGTGGCTCCAGGAGCAATCCACTGTTCAAGTTCTAAGTAGCCGTGCCACCGACTTCAGATACACCTCTGTTCTAAATATCAGTTTTAAGTACCTTTTGGTTTAATAAATACTTTATTTTTCTTTGTTAAATTAGAAACCAAAGTCCAAACCCTCCTGTAAGCACAGCACTCCTAAGAGGATGGTGGTCAGATCTCAAGGGAAACGCTACGGTGGCACCTTCTGCCCAGACAGAGCAGGAACACCGCAGTGTGGAATCCAGAGTATGCGACTGTATCTGTCTCCATACCTACTTTCCATAGGATTACACTCTTGACATGTTGTTAGCCTCCAGGGTAACGATCCTTCCGGCTTATTCTACCGTTAGATAGCACCAGCACTCATCCAGGCCAAATACTATTTGAAAAATAGGCTGTCCAGCCAACCTAATCCCAAGAACTGTTTCCTGGGGTAAACTACAGGCTTTGACCTCTAAGGTGCTTGACATACACAATAAAGTTACCTATAATGCCCAAAGCCCATGGGATCTGTCTGCTCAGTTAGTTTTCGAGTCATGCTTTACAGCTTCTCGGTTGTACGTCTGCTTTATTTTACATCAACCCACCATTAGGGATTTCTCTGAGTCCCACAGCAATGTCAGCAGAGCACTTCCCTCTCTGTATCAACGCACTGACTTGATGTCCAACACAAAGCTGAGACAGCTGGAACTCAAGGAAACAGTGTGGCTCTGGTGTCAGCACATCCAGACTCAGCAAGGAAAGTCTAGAACCTGAGTGTTGGGGCATTACACGGACATGTAGCCCAGGCTTCATTTTACATACAAGGAAACCAAGTCTAGTAGTTGGGAGACAGCCATCCTAAATTCATTCTTTTGTCTTTCGGTGTCCATATTAACACTTGAACTTGACTGTGATTTAGGAAAAAAATGTATTCTCTGCCTCCAACAAGGAGACCCAGAAGCACAGCTCTCTGGTCACCTTTCAGTTTCGGGGCAAAAATCTGTGTGGCTTGCTGTAAGGCAGGCACTGACATGTGAACAGGAAAGACCACGGTATCCTGATTTCCCACGTGCATGGTGATGTCAGCTATGTGTCAAACTAGCACACAGGGAAGGAAGTGAGTAAGCAGTGTGCTCACCAAGCACTTCTTTCTCACGGTGTCAACCAGGAAGAAGGGCCACACACACAGAGCCAATCTCCTGCTTTCTCAGAGCCACAAGGAGGAAGGCCAGGTGTGAGAAACCATCTGCAGAGGGTTATTTAAGGCTGTTCAGAAACTTGGCATGCTCTTCGCCTCTTGGCAACAGGGTCTCTCCCCCTATCTTTGGACCAGTCTTCTCCTGGAAAAGAGAGAGCGTGCATAAGAAATGGCTGACCTTTACTTTCCTGGGTCACCAGCTTAACTATGAATTAGAGTGCAGGTAGCACACAGCTACAGGTCTAGAGTGTCCCCAAGGCCATGTGTTACAGCTAGTGGGACCAAGTGCGATTCTTAGATCACTGGGGATGAGACCCTGAAGGAACAGGACGCAGGGTTCTTTTTAGTTCTGAACTATGAGGTGAAGAAGCCTCCTTTGACACCTTCTCCCACCATGTTTGCTGCCTCACCACAGGTCCAAAACCAAGGCCGTAGACTAAGCAGGCAGAAACTGAAGAACTGTGAACCAGACAGAGTAAAGCCTCCTTCTTTTAAAGTTGATTATCCGGGTCATTTTGTTTCAGCAATGAAAACACATTACCATACATACCTTTAGCATTCCGTCCCGCTCCCACTTGTAAAGGCCACAATTACTGAAACAGAAGAAAAAGGCTTTACTCAGTAGTAAGGGATTAAGGAACTCCCAACCCCATACACATAAAGACAACGGAGCGGGGTGTCACTTCGGGAAAAAGCTGGCCCTTCATTCAAGGAAGGTGGTCAAGGAGGTACTCATGTTCTATACTTCACCTACGGTTATGCTCTACAGCTACAAAGAATAAGCCTTCCATGACCTGAGAAATGGCCTTCAACTCCTCTGTAATCTGGAGACTTCAGAGATGAAATTCCAGATGCCGGCAGAACAGGGCCATACACAGCCAGCCCAGTGAGGAACACAATCTAGGCACTAATTTACGTTTACTGGAGAAGAATGTTCTAGGTCAAGAACGGACAACAGAGAAGCGGGAGTGGGGGGGGACACCATTCTTAGAAGTGCTGTCTGCTGACTGAAAAGCTCCAGTTCTTCCATCCATGGGCTGTACACACGCTCACCCAGTGAACATCCACCAGCCCACCACCATGCACACCCTTCACCTGGGGGAGGCCCTAGCTCTCAGGGGTCCCAGGTAACAATCCCAGCCCAAGGGTTAACAGGAGCTATAGGAAGGCATGGGGGTGACGATCTCATGTTCCAGGGACCATAAAGGAAGTACCACAGAGACAGAGAACCCCATGCGAATCTCATACCTGCAGTGCTTATTTGGGAGCCTGTCAAGGGAGATGGTCCTGTTTCCACAAGGACATTTGAAAAACCTCTTCACACCATCATGCCAATGGAGGTTATGCTGTTCGCTGATGCAGGTCTCCAGAGGCCTGAAGTGGGTGTAGGTGCACTGCACAGACCAACATAAAGCCCATGTCAAGTGAGGGCTTTGAAGGAGGGACCCGCAGCTGCTATCAGGGCCCTCCACACTCTGTCACTGCTGGGACTTGACCAACTACTCTTCAAGGATGGTTTTTTTTTTGAAAATTTTGGAGACAGGGTTCTGTAGCCCACACTGGTCTTAAACTCATGCTCATGTAGAGACTCCTATTTCCACCTCCCAAATGCTGGGACTGGAGGCACAGAGTCACCACAGCAGGCTCAAGTGGGTTTCTGGACTCTCTCTTATACCGCCTTTCCTAATGTCTGCCCCATTCCCAGTGAAGCAGAAGCCTGGACTAGCACTCACTGACACCGAGACGGTAGGAAGGCTGAGCTGTGCATGTCTCCATTGCCAGCACTTGGGAGGCTGAGGCGGAAGGGCTACAAGCTCAAGGACAGCCAGGACGCAGTCAGTTCCAGGACAGCCTGAGTTACATAGTGAGATTCAAAAAAAATTTTTCTCTATAAAAATTTTTTTTAAAGTTTGGCTAAGTTCCCAGAGACAGCAATCTTTGACCATCAATACATCAATACCCGACAAACAGCAATAGGAACAACTTGGTCCCGGTGGCCACAAAGCAGAATCTTCCTGCAAATGTTCCGCTGCACAGCTCTGCACAGCTCCCAGTCCGGCAGGGAGCCTGAACCTTGTCTATCTTGTGCTGTTCACTTTCCCGCCTAAGTAAACGACATTACAAGACATGGCCCCACCCCCAAATTCTGAACGTCCCGCTGACCCCCTTATAAAAAGGGGCCCACAGTCCGAGCCCCGCCTCGCACGCACCATCTTGCATGTCACCACTCGGCATTTCACTTCTCTGATGCTCCTCATCTTTTCTTCCATTTGTTCTTTCTTCACCAGTGGCTCAAAATAGGAGTTCTGTGCCTCGGCCTCGGCCTGAGGAGGAAACCCACAGGAGTAACTGCACCAAGTCCAACCAGCTCAGAAGAGTCCAACAGAAATGCCAGTGATTTAGTTCAATAACCACCAAAACAGAACTGGAGACCGACAAAGTGTCAGAACCCTTCCCAGAGTAAACCAACTGCAAGCCAAAGATCATAATACATAGAGAAGAGTCCTTCAACTAGGGGACAACAGGATAAAAACATCTACAGGCATTTGGTTTCTAAGACTAGCACTGTCACTACGCAGACTGCTCCAGTAGACTCCACCGAGGAAGTGCACATGGCCCCATGAGTGACCCTCCACCTGCTGGGAACCAGTCTCTACAAGTGCTCAGGGCACAAGAAGAGCCCAAGCCATTAGAACAGGAGGGATGAGGGCAGGGAGGTGTTTCTGAAGAGTGATGGCACAGCTGTGGAGTTGGGGTAGCTGCACAGGACCTTTGGGGAACACACAGGGAGTTCAGCCTGGGGTCTTTGGGGCCGGCTTTGCCTGCTTTCTGAGTTCTAGCCCAGTGGGAAGACTTTTACAACTTCGTTGTTAGGTATTAATCAATTAGAAGAACGGATAATTAGGAGTAGCAGGGCACTCCCCAGGGGACATTCTGAGAATCTGTTATCGAAATGACGGCTACCTTGACCTAGCAGGTACCAGGGTGCTATTTTTTTCTGCACTCCCCATATGACACAGGAACATTCCTTGTCCTACACAGACACGGCATGCTCTAGGGGACATGTGTGTAGGAACCCGGCCATAACATAGAACAGACCTGTTTTCTACACAACTTGACATACTTGTGCATGGTTGACATACACTTGACTATTCCAAGAATGTGACTAGGCAGCTCCTGTGTGTACTGAAGGAGGACTGTACTTTGTTCTCAGGATAACTCACTCTTGCTCTGCTGAGGCCTTATTTCTAGACTGTCTCATTTACACTTACAGATTCAAGCCTCTGACTACTACATTATTTCTGCTAGGGTAAGCTATAGCCAAGCATTTACAGGAGGAAATATGTATCGTCAGAAATACTTTCCTGTTCTCCCTCATACTAGTTCATATATTATAATGATATCTCTGAAACTGTAAGTATAGGCAATTTATATTATTCATGAATTTTAATAAGGATGCTTGTTACTACAATACTTATTATTAAAGGGGATTGGGAGTGATGGGGTTAACTGTTGGCTGGATGAACCTGAGATGTCAACATAAAAATGTCTGAATGAGGGCTGGAGAGATGGCTCAGAGGTTAAAAGCACTGGTTGCTCTTCCAGAGGTCCTGAGTTCAATTCCCAGCAACTACATGGTGGCTCACAACCATCTGTAATTCGATCTTGTGCCCTCTTCTGGCATTCAGGCATATATGTAGGCAAAACACTGTATACATAATAAATAAATCTTTAAAAAAAAAAATGTCTGAATGGAAAAAATTCCTCTCCTACTGCAGAGACAAGGAAATTAGCAAGTAGTTAGTAAAGAACATTATTTCAGCATAACACAGTCAAACTATATGTAAACATTTTTATGATGTGGAGTCTACTTAATAATACAACAGCTGTTATTCTTCATGGCAAGGACAAATGCAGAGTTAAAATGTTACTTGAGGGTGCCGGGCAGATGGCTTAGTGGGTAAGAACACCCACTTTGGAAGCCTGACCACATGAGTTGGATCCTTGGAACTCACATGAAAAGCTGACTGCAGGAGCATGCCTCTGTAACCGTAGCACTACTAAGGCAGAAACAAGGGAGACGCCCAGAAATTTGTAGACCAGCTAGCATACAGCACAGCAGCTGAGTTGTCCTCTGATGCACACACACACACACACACACGCACACCCCCCATCTGAACTATTCCTGCTTCTCAAAGCAAGCCACACAGCCATATAGGTACTTCTTCACCTGTGTAGAGAAGCAGAAAGTCCGACCAGCACCTTGTTTTGAAGGACACTGATCTGATCCCTTAGGCGCTTACCTCTTTCAGGATGTCTGTGTGCTTGGACTTTGCTTTTAGAATTCTCTGGAATTCCTCTGACTCTAAGTAGGCAAGTTGCTCTCTCCTTTTCTTCCTGGCAGGCTCTAACTCATCTGAAGAAGAACAGCATTGGCTATTGCTGAGAAAGAAGACTGAGGGCACCAGCGCGCTTCACCCACTAGCTCCCTTCTCCTCTTCCTTTGCCTTCCAGGCTCCTCAACCCCAACATCAGGACCCCGCCTGTAACCACCAGCTCCTTCTCCTTTTCCTTTGCCTTCCAGACCCCTCAACCCTGGCATCAGGACCCCACCTCTAACCGGCAGGGTGACTTCAAGAGTGAACAGAAAGCTGGGCAGGAGGGCCCGTGAACCCATTATTGGCCAAGGTAAGGCAGGAGGATCGCCAAGTTTGAAGATAACCCGGGTTACATAATGAGACTTTGTTGAAAAAAACAAAAACAAACAACAACAAAAACAAGTAACAAAAAATTAAGCAGAGAGGTAGAGCCTGGAGCATGAGGTGGAGCATGCTTGACAGCAAGAACAGACTGCTCCTCACTTCTGATTATGATGATAGAAAAGAACAAAAATCGGAATTAGAAGTCAATTTTCAATGACATTTAGCAGATCCTATGCTTTTAACAATAAAAACAGAAAATTAAAACAAAGGAATTCCATTCCTTTCAAAAATCTTTATGCTAATATAAAATACACAAAGATGCAGTGAACAAACAATCCTTTCCCCGTGTGCTCAAACTGTCCATAATTCCATTCCAAGCTAATGTGATTATACAAAAATGACTGGCTGAGCCAGGCAGGTGATCTGTGGCTGTAAACCCAGGCCTCAGGACACTGGAGCAAGAAGAGAGTTGGAGTGAGCGCACCTGGATTATTTAGAGACCAACTCAAAACCAACAGTGTCAGAGCACTAGCACCGCTTAGAACACTTCCTTTACCAACAGGAAGTGTCCCCCACTACGGACGGTGAAGCTGCAATACCTTCAGGAGAAACCGTGCTGCTCTTCTCTGCACGCTCCTTCACTTCCAGCACATCTTGGGGGTCCATTTGCTTCCTTACAATACTGTTTGGATCCGCTTTGGCCAGAATCTGGCCTTTTGCCCTTAATTTGGCAATAGCAGCTAACTAGAAGGAAAAAAAGAGTTGAGATGAGACAGGCACCTGGAGCCCCATTCCCTTGTCCTCTAGCAGAAATTTGGCTGGTGATGGCCCCATGGGAAAAGCTTGATGATCTGGGTTGCATCCTGGGAACCCACACGGTGGGCAGAGAGAGCCTCTCACACAAGCTGTCCTCTGACCACCAACCACATGATGGCGTGGCACGTACACACATCAAAAAGACTAGGCACAATTGCTCAAATTTGACAAGTTGTCCTCTGACCACATGCATGGCGTGGCATGTACACACACATACATTAAAAAGACTACACACAATTACTCAAATTTGACAGAACAGAAATAGGTCTATAAATAACTAGCAGAGAACTAGGTCTATAAATCATGTTTCACAGAAATAAGCACTATGAAATAGCAGAAGTATGTTTAGGGCCCTTTTAGATATTGTTGGAAAGTCTGTCCTAATCTCAAGCCAAAAAATTCATTTAGCAACTTTTAAAATTAAATGTTCTAACACAATACATTTTAGAGATATACTAATTTGATACCTATATGCTGAAGAATGATAGGAGGAAAATATTAAATGTCTTTGTTTACTATAATTAAACCACTATGTTTAATTTCTGTAACTAAACCACTATGTTTCTGTAAGAGTAGAAAATTGTGCATACAGCAAAACCACTGCACATTATAATATAAACCAATATGGAACCTGAGCCAAGGTGTTTCGGACTGTGTTCACTGGTGCTGTGTGTTGTGACGGCATGTAGGGTAGACAAAGTGTGCATGTGGTGGGTTCAGAAGCAAGCCTGTAGAAGTGTCTCCATCAACATGGGCAAGGATTACCAGGAGCAGCCTGGATTCATCACATGTTGGATTCTGAACTACTTTTCTGACATCGTGTGCTCATAACCTTTTATCAGTAATAAAATTTTCATGACTCGTAACTTCAGTCACGAGAGCCTCCTAAATACAGTTGCAGCCCCGGGTTAAGAAGCTAGACCTTTCACCATTATTTTGCAGTCTTATCTCACTAATTACAGGAATTTTTTGTCTAATGCTACTGTCTCAAGCTGTAGACAGTATCTTCCCAAAGGCTGCTTCCTCTAGACTGACAAGAAACTGGATTGAGATAATGGCTCTCACTTTCTTGGATTAGATTAATGGCATTATGCTGACACCGTTATCATTGCAAATTACTTTGAAACTCTTTGGGATGATTGGTAAATGGTTGCTAGGGACCATCTTTCCTGGACATTAGCATACGGTCTGTCACAGAATGCAAAGCTAAGCAATGAAAACAGAAGCCAGGAAAAACCAACAATAAAACAGAACAAACCAACCCTTGGATGTTTATAGTGTATGTGAGTGCTTGTGTGGATGTGTACGAGCATGCAGAGCATGTGAGTGCTTGTGTGGATGTGTACGAGCATGCAGAGCATGTGAGTGCTTGTGTGGATGTGTACGAGCATGCAGAGCATGTGAGTGCTTGTGTGGATGTGTACGAGCATGCAGAGCATGTGAGTGCTTGTGTGGATGTGTACGAGCATGCAGAGCATGTGAGTGCTTGTGTGGATGTGTACGGGCATGCAGAGTATGTGAGTGCTTGTGTGGATGTGTACGAGCATGCAGAGTATGTGAGTGCTTGTGTGGATGTGTACGAGCATGCAGAGTATGTGAGTGCTTGTGTGGATGTGTACGAGCATGCAGAGCATGTGAGTGCTTGTGTGGATGTGTACGAGCATGCAGAGCATGTGAGTGCTTGTGTGGATGTGTACGAGCATGCAGAGCATGTGAGTGCTTGTGTGGATGTGTACGAGCATGCAGAGTATGTGAGTGCTTGTGTGGATGTGTACGAGCATGCAGAGCATGTGAGTGCTTGTGTGGATGTGTACGAGCATGCAGAGTATGTGAGTGCTTGTGTGGATGTGTACGAGCATGCAGAGTATGTGAGTGCTTGTGTGGATGTGTACGAGCATGCAGAGTATGTGAGTGCTTGTGTGGATGTGTACGAGCATGCAGTGTATGTGAGTGCTTGTGTGGATGTGTACGAGCATGCAGAGTATGTGAGTGCTTGTGTGGATGTGTACGAGCATGCAGAGTATGTGAGTGCTTGTGTGGATGTGTACGAGCATGCAGAGTATGTGAGTGCTTGTGTGGATGTGTACGAGCATGCAGAGTATGTGAGTGCTTGTGTGGATGTGTACGAGCATGCAGAGTATGTGAGTGCTTGTGTGGATGTGTACGAGCATGCAGAGTATGTGAGTGCTTGTGTGGATGTGTACGAGCATGCAGAGTATGTGAGTGCTTGTGTGGATGTGTACGAGCATGCAGTGTATGTGAGTGCTTGTGTGGATGTGTACGAGCATGCAGAGTATGTGAGTACTTGTGTGGATGTGTACGAGCATGCAGTGTATGTGAGTGCTTGTGTGGATGTGTACGAGCATGCAGAGTATGTGAGTGCTTGTGTGGATGTGTACGAGCATGCAGAGCCAGAAACTGACACCAGTGTTTTCCTTCCTCGATTACTCTCACCTTATTTATTTAGATTTTAGTTATTTGTAGGTCTGAGTACCTGCTTGTCTGTATGTGCACCATGTGTACACGTGCCCTGGAGGGCAGAGGAGGGTGTTCGATCCCCTGGACTGCAGTTAGAGCTGTGTGAGCTGTCTGATGTAAGTGCTAGGAACCCAACGTGGGTTCTACAAGAGCATCCAAGTGCTTTGACCAGTGACCCACCTCTCCAGGCTCACCCTCCTTATCATTTGAGACAAGATCTTTCCCTGGGCCCAGAACCCCCCACTTGCCAGAACGGCTGGCCAGCTCGGATCCACCTGTGTGCACTTCTCTCCTCCCCAGGTTACATGCAGCCCCCATGCCTAGCTTTTGACACGAGTGCTGGGGATCCAGCTCAGGTCCTCGGGCACAGCGAGCACTTTACTGGGCTGCCTCCCAGCACCCCACTTACCTTTTTAGCTTCTGCCGCTGCACTCAGTTTTGGTTTTGGTGGTGGAGATTCATCAAAAAAGAGGACATCATCCCCTTCTGAGATGCCTCTACCAAGCTTGGGCATCCGGGGGGCTGTGGTTCTTTCCAACCTGGGGAATTCGGCCCCAATCCGAGGAGACTGGGCAGCAGACTGTCGAGACGAAGATGGCACTGCTGGGCTCTGGACTTCACTTGAGCTTTGAAGGAATCTTAAAAGGAACACGAAGTAACTAATATGGGGTTGGGCATGTGGCTAGACAAATGGTGCTCCAGGCTCTGGCCTCCATCCCACAACCCAAACCCCAAGTAAAGAAATGTAAGTAAATATACACTCAGGGCTCAAAAAACTTCAGGTCTAGAACTCTGTCTTACCCTGGTCTGGGAGACCCTCGATAAGCAAGTGAGGACAACTAGCTGTTGGTAAACAATTTCCTTTCTTTGGTTAAAATTCAAATTAGCAATTAAGATCAACAGCAGCTTAGACCCCCAGGGCCTCACCGAATTTCCTTGCTTTTCAGTTTATCCTACAGGAAGGGAATATCCTTCACAAGGGAGGGGGGATGAGATGACTAAAATTCCTAATAGACATGTATGAAGCTTACAAAGAACTAAAAAAAAAAAACTTAACAAAAATAGCACTGCAATCTACACAGTGATTACACACACACACACACACACACACACACACACACACACACACCCCCGCCAGGATTTCTCTGTGTAGCTTTGGAGCCTATCCTGGAACTCACTCTGTAGACCAGGCTAGCCTCGAACTCACAGAGATCCGCCTGCCTCTGCCTCCTGAGTGCTGAGATTAAAAGCGTGCACCACCATTGCCCAGCTACAGTGATTCTTTTATATAGATTTAACATATTAGGAAAAACATTCAAGCCAGGTGTGGTTGTATATGCCTGAAACTCCAACACTTGGAGGTAGAGCCAGGAGGATAGATTTCAAAGCCAACTCGGGTTACTATGTAGCACAGGGCCTTGAACAGACAATTCTGACCTAGCTTCATCAGTATCAGGATCACAGGTATGCACCACACTGTCTGACTTAGAATCAACCTTCCAATAATGATCTAGCTATACTTTATTTAAGACAATTTCCATGTGAGAACATTCTACACACACATGAAATATCCACCCAGCCCTGATCAATTATAGCACAGACACAAAATTAGATGTTAAGTTTCAGGAGATGCAAAAAGCACAAGAAAATATTCTCTTAGTAAAAGAATGTCATATTTTATAGTTGTTTGCAGCACCCACAAGACAGTCCCTTACCTTCCCAAGAAGGATGTATGGCTTCCTACAGGGCCACCCTGTTGCTTGAACTTGTAGCCCCCCTGCCTCTACCTTCAAGGGCTGGGATTATAGGCATGTGCTACCACGCCGACACTTTTATAAAATTGCTTTTACTTATTTATGTAAGTATGTGTGCATGCATGCATGCCCACCATGGTGTACACACAGGAGGTCAGAGGACAACCTGTGGGACCTGGTTCTACACTCTTACTGTGCTGGCCTGGGGATGGAACGCAGCTTGGATGGCTTGGTGGCAATCATGCTTACCTGTTGAACCACCTTGCCAGCCTGACACCTTTGAAAAAACAAAATCTGGGGCTTTAACTTCAGAACCACCACACCCAAACTTCATTTTGTAGATAAAATACTGAGGTCAAGGTCAGTGCTCAGAAAGCCTCTTCACACCTTCCTTCTTCCTCCTTCCCAGGGTCATACTAACTGATCTCCTCAATACCAGCAGGCTCTGGGAGCAGCAGCATAGGTTAGTGGCAGACAACTGAATGTCACTTCAGTTATAACGGAGCCAACCTACATTAAAAACCATTAGAATGTTCTGAGGGTTCCTGGGACGAGCTATCCAAGCAGGGAGTGGAATCTATTCCTCTTACCGTTTCTGTATCTCTTCTGACTTCCTCTTCCGCATTTCTAGCATCTGTTGCTTCTGCTGCTTCAAGAGGGCTGATGCGGAGATAGACTGGATGGCAGGTTTTGGGCTCCCCATTACGCCTAAAACACAGACCATATACTGGGGAGTTATTGGAGAGGTTTGGGGAACATGGGCACACACACTATAATCACATACGCTGACTGTACCTGAAGTCTTGGCTTTGGCTAAATGCTTTAAGTTTCTGGCTCCAAATGTGGGCAGGGACATCAATTCCCTGAACTCCTCAGAGCAAGACAAGCTCTTCTGGGGAATTCCTGAAACATGCAAACATTTATTCTAGAGGATTCAAAATTTAAATGGTTTGATATCATGTGACATCACTTATTAACCTCTATAGTCATAACTTAGTAACTGGTTAGTGAATAAGATGGACTAATAAAAGAAAATGTAGAACTTTTAACTTAAAAGTCAGACTAGCAGGATAGCAAGGGGATCATGAATATCAAATGCTAAGCCCCCAAGGTTGGTGGGGCCCACGGATATGCCATTTCCGGAATATGCATGAGTAAGAGGCCATGCAGGTTACTGGTCACTTTTAGGACCATATGTACAGGTGGACTGGCGGTGTCAGACCTACGCCTATTTTTAACGTGACTGATAAGATCAACCTGGCACTAATGTTGGATGCTGAGAGCCTGACCAGCTATATTTCACTAAGTATACGAAGCCAAGACAAGGTTAAGATTGAGCTGCAGATTTTCCTTACCACTTCTCACCAAACTTCTTCCTTTAGCCTATGCCACATTGCCCACTAACCAGGTGATGAGTGGGCATTCATCACTGGAGAGTATAAGCAAGCCATAACCATTCTCAGTCCCAAATATTGCATCCACTGGAGGCAGAGGAAGGGTGCAGAAAAAATTACCGAGTTTTTGTTTTGTTTCCTGGATGATGGCGTTTGTGCCCTTCACAACCAGATTAGTCAAAGTGGTTTGAACCTTCTTCTTAGGGGCCATAGCTGCTGCCCTGCAAAGACAAAAGCCACCACAGCTGAAAGAGAGTTACTGAACTGCAATGCCTGCAGAAACAAATCATGAGGATTCCCATGCATTTGTTACCAATTGTCCTCAAGCCTCACACAAGCAGCCTTTGCTAGTAACCCAGTAGTTCCGGTTTGTACACAACAACACAGACGGAGAACAGGCAACCTACGGATCTGCTTGAGGCCTTGCCAAAGGGCCAGAAACTTCAAAAAATGTCAGTACTGTGATACAGAAGACGAAGAATTTGTCTTAAAATAATGATGCCGGGTGGTGGTGGCACATGCCTTTAATCGCAGTACTCAGGAGGCAGAGGCAGGCAGATCTCTGTGAGTTTGAGGCCAGCTTGGTCTACAGAGTGAGTTCCAGGACAATCAAGGCTACACTGAGAAACCTTGTCTCGAAAAACAAAAAACAAACAAATAAAAAATTAATGACTGCAAAATTTTAGTATTTTACAATTATAGGTCAGTTTAAAAGTTATTAGAAGCTGGGCAGGGTGGCATATACATATCCCAGCACTAGGGAGATGGAGGCAAGAAGATCAGGAATTCAAGGCTAGCCTTGACTGTATATTGAGTTCAAGCCAGCCTGGACTACATGAAAACCTGTCCTGAAAAACAAAAAAACTACAATGTTGCAGAAATACCATTAGCACTCACCCACAGGGAATACTTAAAATAACCATATAAAGGATACTATATAGCTACTAAAAATAATGACTAAAGAGGCCCAATTCTGTAAGATCAGAAACAAAATCTTTTTCTGTTTTTAGATCAACCACAGTTCCTTTGTACATGTTCTCACCTGTCACATGCTCAGATGCTATCTTTATGGTAAGATGACAAGGCCACACACCATCCATCTGCTCTGGGGTTCCTTTGACAGTCTCGGATCCCAGTAGAGGGCCATGGACACCTGTCCTACCTCACCATGCCCTGTGTGAACTTCATCACACATGTGTTCATGAAGTTAAAGTGGTTTCTAAGAGGTCTACAACCTCACTATATAACAACAACAATAGTAACAACAAACAACAATAATAAAGGGAAGGACTCAAGATGTCCGCACTTCTTTGTTTTGATACTGTAGTTCACATAGCCTAAGCGGGTCTGAAATTTTGCCACAGCTGGGCATGGAGTTCTGATCCTGTTGCCTCCACCTCTCAACTGTTTTCTTTTCTTTCTTTTTCTTCTTTGTTTTTTTGTTTTGTTTTGTTTTATTGTTGTTGTTGTTTTTGAGACAGGGTTCCTTTGTGTAGCCCTTGCTGTCCTGGAACAAATAACTCTGTAGCCCAGGCTGGCCTTGAACTCACTGAGATCTGCCTGCCTCTGCCTCCCAAGTGCTGGGATTAAAGGCATGTGCCACCACCGCCTGGAGATTGTTTTTTCACTTTTAAAAAAAAGTTTTTTATTTTTTTATGTGTGTATGTATGTGTCTGAGTGTAGGTTTGTGCACAGTGAATGTAGTGCCCAGAGAGGTCAAAAAGGAGCATGAGATCTCCTGAAGCTGGAGTTACAGCGGTTGTAAGTCACCTGACCTGAGGACTGGGAAGCAAACTCGGGCCCTCTGCCCAACAGTATGCACTCTTAATGGCTGAACCATCTCTCCAGACTGTTTTCTCCATTTGCAGCAGGGTCTCCCTCTATAGCTTAGGCTGGCCATGGACTCATGTTCTTCCTGCCTCAGTCTCCCAAGAGCCGGGACTGCAAGTGTGGACCACCACATCTGGCTAAACCTAAAGCATGGGCTCTACGTCCAGATCACATGACTCACTCTCCAGCCACTCTGAATGTACTCCTCTCTCCCTAGGAATGAAACCACTCTGGACCACTCAGAGTGGTCCTTAACCACTCTGGCTTCAGCGGTGAGAAACGAAGTTCACGCAAGCACCTAGGACAGTTGAAGGACAGTCCGACCACCAGCTCCCTCTCAAGAGACAAGCACAATCCTTTCCCAAAAGCAGCCGGGGAAATGTCTTACATGGACGCTGCAAAGGACTCAGAAGAAACCCCACCATAGTAGAAACAATCTTGGCACAGGCGCTCTTTGAGGCTGGTGCCTTTTCGGAACTTCTTCGGAATCCGTCCCCCAGAGAAGGTGGACTGCAGATCGGACCGCTTTGCACTAAGCTTCTTGTACTGGGCCTGGATGTGGTACTGGCAGTATTCACAGTCATGCTGCAGGGAAAACACTCAGTGAGGACTAGATGAGCAGCTGGAGCAGTGCAGACCCTCTCCCAGCCTCGCAACACTATGTGCAAGCTGAGAGTCTGTGACTTCCATAGCTCCTCCCATTTGCTCGCCACCACCACAGCACTCAAAGTCCATCCCTCATGATTGACGCTTTCACAGGCAAAAACCACACCAACAGATTTGAGACCCACCAAATTAACAATCTGTGTACACGGCTCTCCATTCTTCTTCTTGGCTTTACAGGTTCCCAGGTCCATAGCTTCTCCCATAATTAAGACTTTTTGCGGATGGTCAATAGATAAGCACACCTGTAAGAGAGAGGTTACGCAGTGCTGAAGACCTTTATCCTAAGAATGGGTGGAGGGCTGTCTGCAGCTGGTTCTGGAAGGCACGTTTGAAGCCAGAGCTCTATCAACTGTAGGCTGGGGAATGCAGAAGACTCCCTCAGCTCCCTTCTCTCTAAGCAACTTTTCCTTCCTCTTGGCTGTTGGAATCCTGACTGTCCAGGCTGGCCAAGTGCTCAGCCTCAGACAACGGATGTAGCCCTGTTTTCCCAGCGTTCCTTACAGCCAACAATGGTCATGTGACTAAGGCCTGGCAAATTAGACTGAAACAGGAATTGATAGGGAAACTCTAGATTTCCCACTAAAAAGTGAGAGGCTGGCTCACCCTCCTTCATCCTGTCCCCAATGGTGGTACGACGCCAGAAGGACAGTCTCCGAATGACCTTGGCTGACTCAGCTCTCCCATTCCCTGCTGCCGATTCTCAGGCAGACCTACCAAGAATACAGGCTGAGATAAGAAGGAATATCCTCAACTGCCTGGGCTCTGTCCTTGTTTTCAGAACGGGACACCTGTCACTTGAGATCAGAAGGCCCAGTGGTTACTAGGTAACAAAATCCAGATCAGAAAGCTTTCAAAACCCCCAGCTAGCCACGGAGCAAACTTGGCTGTGGTAAGACTCCTACACTGGACAGTTCTCCTGGGCCTAGAGGAATTAGCCCCCAAGGAGCACAGGCTTCTGTTGGTTCTTGCAGCCTGTCTGTAACGGAATTGCTCTGCCTAACTGGATTCACACTCTGGTAGCAGAGTCTGCGCACAACTTACCGCCAGATAAAGGAACTTTAGCAGAAAACACGAAGCTGTTCAGAGCCCCCCAACCCAGGATCAGTAAACAGTGAGTACTATTCCCCTCCCAGGGTGAGGAGACACAGTATTCTGCTTCAGAGATATTCAGTGTAAGGCAGAAACTCACTGTGTTAGAGTAAAAATTGGCCCCACAGGTTCACATATTTGAATGTTAGGTCCCAAGTTGGTTGAACTGTGTTGGAGGAGGTATAGCACTGGCGGTGGGCTTTGAGGTCTCCATAACCCACACCAAGGCCAGTCTCTCTTTCTGCTTCCAATTTACAGGTCAGGACGCAAGCTCTTACTCAGCTACTGCTCCAGTGCCAGGCCTGCCTGCTGCCATGTCCCCACCATGATGGTCATGGACTTACCCTCTGAAACTGTAAGCAAGGCCCCAATTAAAGACTTCCTTTTATAAGTTGTCTCGGACATGTTATCTCCTCAAATGATCAAAAAATAAACTAAGATACTCATAGAGACATGACATTACTAAATTACCTATTTCTAGTTTTTTGGGGTTTTTTTGTTTTGTTTTTTTGAGGGAGGAGAAGGGAGGGTCTTGCTATGTACTGGAGGAAGGCCCAAATTCACCACAGAGCCCAGATTGGCCCCAAACAGTGACCTTCCTCATACGATATTAACCTGGACTTATAAGAAAAATTGGGTTGGCAAGATGGTTCAGTGGGTAAAGGTGCTTGCTAAAAACTCTAATAACCCGAGTTCAATGTTTGGAATCCACATAGTAGGAGGTGAGAACCAATTCTGCAAGCTGTCTTTTGATCTCCATATGTATGCTCTGACACCCATGCACCCCTCCGGCCCACAATAAACAAATAAAGGTAGTAAATTAAAAAATAAAATAAAGAAAAACAAGTTTGGCATAGCAATTTACACCTACATTCTTAGAACTTGGGAGGCAGAGACAAGAAGCCTGCTGCTAGTTCAAGGCCAGCACAGGAGACAGAGAAACACACATATACAGACACACAAAGGGAAAAGAAAACCCACTGTTTGACTTTGTTGTTTTGTTTTTATGTGGCTGGATCTTGGACTAAAGGCAATCCTCTGGCCTTGGCCTCTGGACTAATGAGATTACAGGTGTAAACTATCACCCAGAGCTAAATCCCACTGTTACTTAAAAGAAACTCCAAGTTTTTTTGTTACACATGGCCAAATATACTCCCAACCAACAAATGAAGACTTTTCACCATTCTCTACTGAAAATAAAGTCCTTGCTGGGTCAGAGTAGAAAAAAACTACCCATTGCAGTTCACACTGGTCAGCAATTCACCAGGAAAGCAAAGGTAACAGAGAACTCTAATGAAGCAAACTTCATTCACCTGCAACACACTCATCTCTTGATACAACCATGGGCATTTATGCAAAGAATCTAAGGACCCAGAGTGGAGGAGTTCATAAGCTTGGGCTGGCGAGATGCCTCGGCAGGTAACGGTGCTCACTGTGCAAGGCTGAAGGCCGGAGGTCAATCACCAGAACCCACACAAAGGGAAAAGAGGAGAAGTGACTCCAAGTTATTCTTTCATCTCCACACGTGAGCTGTGTCACACACGTGTGTGACTCTCTTCTCTTGTTAATAAATAAAAGAGCAATAATAATCTCTGGGAACCGTGGCACTAATTCAAAGCAGTTTAGAGTAAGGAGATGCACAGAATATTGGTAGGCAATGAGCCAACAAATGACGAACTGGAATAATGTGTACAACATCAGTAAAGCCCAGAGGTAGATCAGCACAGATGTTCTGATACACACTAACTGTATACACCACCAGCCATGCAGTCCAAGCTGAGATTCTTACCTCCTCGGAGCCTTCTTTGGGCTTCATGGGATTTGCATTGAGCAAGCCTATGACAGTCCCTTGCTCTGTCTTCCAGAGATCTTTGTGGACTTCTCCAAACAAGAACAAGGATACACACCGAGTCAGGTCACGAAGATCGTTCAGTTTCCAGACGCTAAATGTTTTCCCCTGCAGTGAACAGCACTATTAATCATTTTTGAACCCTGGCTTACAGTGCCTCCATTTAGGGTTCAAGTGTTTTACTGTGGAAAGATATCTGAATATAATTCACCCTAAGTAAATGGCTGTGAAAGTGCTTTCAAACTCTAAGTTAACGCTTTCCTTGGGCTTTAGTGTTTATTACCTGCCTCATCTGAGACGAGAGAGAAGCACGGCAGGCAACAAGCAAACTTAGTAGAGGGTGTCACCGTCCGACCTAAGCAGCAGGAGGCTAGCCCTCCCCCAGTGTACAGGTGCGTGACGGTGGGCCACAGCCTCCCACTCCCACCCTAGCGAGACAAGCAGCAGCTATAGCTGGATCATTTCCAGCCCGATCACAGGACTAGAGACCAGTGATCACCAACTATGCTGTTACTATGCTGTTAACAGCTAAGTACACACCTCGCCCGCACAGGCTCAAGATCAACACTTCTGGACTGTCATCTTGCTACCACAGAGGATCTCTGGGATTTGTGGACTCAGCCTCTCTGATTACTTGGCCTTCTCCACAGGAGAGATTAGAGTGTCTCAGGGACCAACACAGGTGTCCCTGCAAACCGTGACAACTGAAATGCAGTATGACTGCGTGGGCAATAAGAAGCACACTGTCTCTAAGTCAAGAGTTCTTTGCTAACAGTGCCCTTGAACCCCAAGACTGACTAGTGCTGACTAGAAGTTATTTGAAGAGAAGGACTGACAGGCACCAGATGAAGTCTGGGAGACCGACTGTTAGCCTGGGCAGGCACAGCTCAGGAATCAGTAAAGCAGCTTACACTGTTAGTGCTCTGTGGAGTGACTTTCCTCAGTATAACCCCAAATGTCACCCAGTCCGTCTCTTCCAGGTTCTCAGTTGCCACCTTCTCCTTGATCTGAGACAGCCTGATCAGTTTCCGACCTGTCATTTTCCTGTTCATTTCTGTGGAGGACACTCGAGGTCGCCTGGGTCAAGAAGCCGGTAATTAATGTTATTATTCTGGTAAGAGACTATCTGGCACCTTACCAGGTGGTAAGGGGAACATCTGAGACTTTTGTATAATACCGATTTAGCATACATTTATTTTTATTTAGTTAGTTTTGGTTTCTTGGGACAAGATCTCAGAACATAGCTCAGGCTGGCCTAGAACTCATGATCTTCCTGCCTCAGCCTGGCTAAAGTAAGCTTTTTTTCTTTTTCTTAAAGTAGATTAAAAATTTTCAAAGTATGGGGCTGGAGAGATGGCTCAGAGGTTAAGAGCACTGACTGCTCTTCCAGAGGTCCTGAGTTCAATTCCCAGCAACCACGTGGTGGCTCACAACCATCTGTAATGAGATCTAGTGCCCTCTTCTGGCATGCAGTCACATATGCTGTATACATAATAAATAAATAAATCTTAAAAAAAAAAAAATTTCAAAGTGAGGATCACTTTCTTTTCCTTGAACATAGATTTGCCTAAAGTTAAAGTTTATAATCTTTTGTAATCATATTACAATTATAAGAAGGCCCTGCTATTCTGGTTAAACTGTATCTTTTTTGCTTTGAGACTGTGTTTCATTTTGTAGCCCAGGCTGGCCATGTAGTTTTGCAGGCTAGCCTTAAACTCTCAATTCTCTTTCCTTGGCTTCCTGAGTGTGGGAATTAAAAGCGTCACACCTGAATTGTATATATTTATATATTGAAAAAGTCTAGGATCCTAACACTGCACACAACAGTCTAAACTGCACCTATATAAAGATGGGAAGTTTTACAATAAAATCTTCATCTCTGTTTTGATTTGACAATTTCTGATTAAATATCTATTATCTGTCCATTTCCTTTTAACGGATAAACATTCTTTTTTTTTTTGGAGACAGGGTCTCTTACATAGCCTGGCTGCCAAGGAACTCACTATGTCGACCAGGCTTGCCTTGAACTCACAGAGACCCTTCTGCTGAGGATCCCCCTGCCTCCCACATGCTGCTGAGGTCCCCCTGCCTCCCACATGCTGAGATTAAAGGTACCACCACCATCCTCCATTGTGCAGGAACCCTTCCTTCAACAGCCCCCACACTGCACTGATTAAAGACGGCACCACCCACTGAGGGCTAAGCTCCTCACTCAAGAGCTGCCGACGCTCTGTGGGTCCGCTGCTCGCACACTGCCTCTAGAGGACCCATCTTCTGACAGCACAAAGAGCCATGTAGTGGGTCAGATAAAGGGACTCCAAGGGATGTTACACTACTGACCTGAGTCGTAGGCCCGAGAAGGCTTCCACGGAGACCTGGGGCACCTGAGGCGGCCGTTCCTCAGAATTCCCAGGGGTTCCTGCGCTCTGATTTCTAGTCATCCCACTGGGTTTGTTTCCAGGAACGGTTTGTGGTGAGGGTGCACTTTTTGCCCTTGAAGAGGAGCTTTGGGGCTCCAGAAAATTGGAAATGACCTGTAGTGGTTGTGAGGGTGTACTTGTCCTTGAAGATAACTCTAGAAAATTAGCATAAGTAAAAAGAGAATGACTGAGAAGCAGAAAATCTACATATGGAATTTTTTTTTTTTTGGAGACAGGGTTTCTCTGTGTAGCTTTGCGCCTTTCCTGGATCTCATTCTATAGACCAGGCTAGCATCGAACTCAGAGATCCACCTGCCTCTGCCTCCCGAGTGCTAGGATTAAAGGCGTGCACCACCACCGCAGCAATCAAATCTTTTTTTTGGGGGGGGGGGGCAATCAAATCTTGACAGAGAAGAGCAAATCTCTGTAGCACTGTCCAATAGAACATTGTGTGGGAATGGTCGGGTAGCCCTCAAATGCTTCAGTTCCAGTTCCAAGGGATCACCTTTGCAGGCATCTGTATGCACACAAGCTCATTCTCCCCAACCCTCACACACACACACACACACACACACACCAGCAGATGATGTATTTTCAACAAGGCTAAGCAGTGAGACCCAGCGAGACCTTGAGTACCATACCTGCAGGAGTCTTCGGCATCCTAGCCACCCGCTTGGCTCTGGGTAAGGCAGGGACATCAAGCTCTGCAGAGAAGCATGCTGACTCCTGAATTCTCCGAACTTTCTTCTCCTTAAGAGGGGGCCGAAGAGATGCACCTTCTTGATTGAAAATAAAAGGAATTAGGAATGTTACAGTTTTGGCAGGAGCTGGATGGAAACAGTAATGCTATTGTTTCTTCGTAACAAACATGCATATTATTGCTAAAATTATCGTCACATTACCAGGTGATTCGTGTAAAAGGGCTGCACTTGGAGATTGTTTAATCGATGCTGCTTTTAGCTGCTCCTGTAAGGATTTCATTTGCTCTTGCAGCTTCTTTAATTCATCTATGAAAGAAAATATACTAAGAATCAGGAAGACAGAGTGCTATACCTGACACAGACACTGGCAATATTTCTGTTGTCCTGCCCCAAACCTTGAGATTCACAATACGATCCTGTCTTAGGTGGGGTTTCTATTGCTGTGATCAAACACCATGACCAAAGGCAAGTTGGGGAGAAAAGAGGCTTACTCTTCCACAGCACTGTTCACCATCGAAGTAAGTTAGGACAGGAACTCAAACAGTGCAGGAATCTGGAGGCAAGAGCTGATGCAGAGGCCACGGAGAGGTGCTGTTCACTGGCTTGCTCCCTATGGCTTGCTCAGCCTGCTTCTTACAGAACCCAGAACCACCAGGCCAGGGATGGCACCACCCACTGGGTCCATCCCCGTGATCACTAACTAAGAAAATGCCTTACAGCCTGATCTTATGGAGGCATTTTTTCAATTAATATTCTCTCTTTTCAGATAATTCTAGCTTGTGTCAAGTTGACATAAAACTATCTAAGACAAATGCCCTACTTCAAACTCAGGAATAATTGTTGTACTTCCAAGAGCTTCCGTAGAGAAACAAATGTTTTATCCCTAGTAATCAAGCCTGACACTTGGGCTAGCTATGAGCTTATCCTACAGCTGGGCATAGTGGTGTATACCTGTAATTCCAGCACTCAGGAGGCTGAGGTGACAGCCAGGGTAAGAAAAACAAAAACAAAAACCCAAAACAAACAAACAAACAAAAAACCAAAGAGGGGCCAGGCAGTGGTGACGCAAGCCTTTCATCTCAGCACTCGTGAGGCAGGTGGATCTCTGTGAGTTCGAGGCCAGCCTGGTCTACAGAGCGAGATCCAGGACAGGCTCCAAAGCTACACAGAGAAACCCTGTCTTGGAAAAACAAAACAAAATAAAAAAACCAAAAGAGGAATTTGTATGGATACCTATCACAGAAGTCAAACAATTTATTTCATAAATTGAAATATCATATCTAACACAATAAATGCTGGGTTTTGTATTAGAAGAAACAGTCAACTACTGAATCTTGTTCTAACTTAAAAATACATGAAAAGGTACCAGGACTAAGAAAGGTGCATGCTTCAAAGCGGCAGTTCAGAAATGATCTCTTGCTCAAACAAACTGTGGTAGCTTTGTAGCTCGGTCCCTCGCTGCCATGAACACAAATCCTAAAGTAATATATTCTGTATGAAGCATGAACAGGGTTAGAGCCATTTTTTTTTTTTTTTTTTTTGGTTTTTCGAGACAGGGTTTCTCTGTGTAGCTTTGCGCCTGTCCTGGAACTCACTTGGTAGCCCAGGCTGGCCTTGAACTCACAGAGATCCGCCTGGCTCTGCCTCCCGAGTGCTGGGATTAAAGGCGTGCACCACCACCGCCCGGCTATTTTTTTTTTTTTTTTTTTATTTTTTATTTTTTTGGAGCCATTTTTTGGAAGATCAGTTATAGCTGGCTGACAAGGATGTGAAGAGGACCTTGGATGCTAAAAGGCTGACTTTAAATGCCTCACTCATCAACTCGCTCAAGTTTAATCACGTGCGTGCATGCACACACAGGGCTTTGTTGGTGGTCTTTGACTGTTCCTATTGTTTTGAGGCAGGGTCCCTCATGGAGCTCACAGATTCTGCTAGGTTGGCTTGACAATGTGCCCCAGGGTCCCACCTGTTCCCCAACTCTTCACAGTGGAGTTACAGATACACACCATCACTCAGCTTTTAAGTGGGCACTGTGGATGTGAACTCAGGTCCTCATGCATGTGTTTTATTGACTGAAGGCATCTTTCTAGCCTTTTATTTATTTATTTTAAATAAAGCCATTGGTCACCACCCTCGTACCTGCAGTTATTTTAATAAAAACTGTCAAACTGGTGGTCATTTACTTTCTCATGAATAAGTGGAGAAAGTGAGCAATCAGGGTACCTTGCAACTCCTGATTGGTTTTTTCTTGGCTGGGAGTAGGGACCTTGTTTTCAACTTGCAGTGTAGGAAGTTCATCATCTGTTAAATCCTCCACATCGCCAAAGAGAGTGGCCAAATTTTCCTGCTGCTTTTCTGTCTTCTCCTCTTCTCCATCGTCAGCCTCTTCTGTGTAAGATTCACCATCGCCATCAGCATCAAAAAGCTCATCAAATTCATCAGGTTCACCGTCTTTCAGAGACAACGAGTTACTCTCTTCTGAATGACAAGGCAAGGCGGCCTCGTTCTCCTCCAGCAGAGACGTCAGCAGAGACAAGTCATCTTCCTCCACTAGAAGAAACGGGGGAAAGTAAGTCTACCCCAGGTGAGGTGTCAGTGACAAGCACACCTCAGTCAGTCAGCACTCACGCTGCAACAGAAACTGCAGGGGACCAGCCCCCACCTTTTCCAGGGTTCCTACAAGGAGGAGAGAGGAATAAGAGCTTGTAGATAGAATGATAGGCCTAGCCGACAAGAGGAAAGACAGAAACAGGATAGCTTCGGGGGAAGACCTGGATCCAAACCCACCGGCCCAGAACTTTATTCAAAAGGGCTTTTATAACAATGCCAAGAGGTGAGGCAAAAGACCTCTTCCCTTGCTAGATATAGCCAAGTACAGACCCTTCCAAACACCTGGTACCCAGGCCCATGGTCCAATAATCCTCTTATGCAGTCCTGCTGGGTAAAGCAAGCTCAGCTCTCACTAGGAAACCTCTGTGGGCCCCCACAAGAAACAGGCCTCCAGATCTGTCACGCTGCTGGCTGTTCTGTTGGCCTTTTACCGACTTTCCTGCCCCTGAGTGCTTCTTAGAAGACACTGAGCTAAGGGAGAGCAAGGGAGCCAGGCACTGGGCTAGAACTTCTTACCAGCACTGCTTTAATAAAGAGTCACCTTCCTGCAATACCAACTTTCATGGAATCTGACCAATAGGAATAACTGAAAAACACTTAAACATAGATGTTGACCAGACCTTACCCACTCTTTAATTGTGACTTTTTTCTTTTTTCTTTTTTTGGTTTTTTGAGACAGGGTTTCTCTGTATAGTTTTGGAGCGTTTCCTGGAACTCACTCTATAGCCCAGGCTGGCCTTGATCTCACAGAGATCCACCTGCCTCTGCCTCCCGAGTGCTGGGATTAAGGTGTGCGCCACTACCACCTGGCTAATTGTTACTTTTAAATGGGGAAAGATATATAGCCATCACCTAGAATTAGCTATCATTAACATTTTTGTCATATTTGCTTTTATTTGACCTGTACAAATAAGTAACACATTATTCCACTGGTGATTTCATGCAAAAGATAAAATTAACTCAAATTAAAACATAGTTCTTTTTTTTTTCCCCCGTTTTTTGAAACAGGATCTAGCCCAGGATAGCCTCAATGTTTGGTTTTGCTTTTCTTGAAGCGGGCAAAGTGTAATAAACCTGAGTCAAAAAGAACTGCAGTTTCAGCTGGGCAGTGGTGGCGACAACCTTTAATCCCAGCACTTGGAGGCAGGGGCAGGCAGATCTCTGAGTTCGAGGCCAGCCTGGTCTACAGTGAGTACCAGGACTGCCAGGGCTACACAGAGAAACCCTGTCTCGAAAAAGAAAAAAGAAAAAAAGAAATGTAAAAACAGAGAAGCAAACAAAGCCCAAGAAAACACCCCACAGTGTATTGTTTAGGTCCCATCGGAACCAGCACAGACATTCTGAGTTGAGCTTTGCTAAGGAGAGCAATATTTCTTTACTGGGATTTATCTTTGCACAAATCCCCGAAAAACAAGCAAAATTAGAATGAAACTAGACTAGAACCATTTCAAAAGATTTTCCACATCCAGAGTAACCCCTGAAGTGAGACCCGCCCCTTGATCTGACAGTTTCATGTAACAAGTTACTAAGCACCCCTGCCTTCCCCCTATTCTGTGGCAGAAGGAAGGCCCAAATGGTGGTTCTCCATGAACCAAAGAGGAATCAGTAGAACGGGAAGGCCTTACCATCCATGCTGTCAAGACAATAGTGGAGATGAGCAAGCGTGAAGGCGGATCAGGTAGGTGGCCCAGGAGGTGAGTAATGAAGAATCTTGGCTGTGTAAAAACCAACATTAGAACGTCACCCTTGAGTCTTGGCTGTGTAAAAACCAACATTAGAACGTCACCCTTGAGTCTTGGCTGTGTAAAAACCAACATTAGAATGTCACCCTTGAGTCTTGGCTGTGTAAAAACCGACATTAGAACGTCACCCTTGAGTCTTGGCTGTGTAAAAACCGACATTAGAACGTCACCCTTGAGTCTTGGCTGTGTAAAAACCGACATTAGAACGTCACCCTTGAGTCTTGGCTGTGTAAAAACCAACATTAGAACGTCACCCTTGAGTCTTGGCTGTGTAAAAACCAACATTAGAACGTCACCCTTGAGTCTTGGCTGTGTAAAAACCAACATTAGAACGTCACCCTTGAGTCTTGGCTGTGTAAAAACCGACATTAGAACGTCACCCTTGAGTCTTGGCTGTGTAAAAACCGACATTAGAACGTCACCCTTGAGTCTTCTCATGATGCACACCCAACAAAACCCAAATCCCAGGTTCTGTGGACTGTAACCTTGGGATGCATCCGGCACCTGGCATTTCTCACCCCCTCTTCCATTATCAACAGCTCACTAGCGTCATCCTCCTCGTCCATAAGCAGTACTCATCCACTTGGCTTCCAATTGTGGTTACGGAGGCCCAGCTAAAGTGCAGTGTAGGGTGTGAGATAAGACTACAGAGTCAACAAAGTGTGAACAAAAGCTATTCAGGCCGGGCGGTGGTGGCGCACGCCTTTAATCCCAGCACTCGGGAGGCAGAGCCAGGCGGATCTCTGTGAGTTCGAGGCCAGCCTGGGCTACCAAGTGAGTTCCAGGAAAGGCGCAAAGCTACACAGAGAAACCCTGTCTCGAAAAACCAAAAAAAAAAAAAAAAAAAAAAAAAAAAAGCTATTCAGGCTGGGATCAATTTTAGGGCTGTTACCCCATTTCATTATTATAGCACATCTGAGGTCTACCTTATCGTTGCAGCTTAGGGTGAGATTCTACATAGTTCTTTCTGAGTTGGGATCTTAAGGCCACACTAGTTGGCAAAGCACAGAGGAAAAGAACAATTAAGATAGAAGGATCACATTGAAGCTGGGCGTGGTATCAAGCACCTTCAATCCTAGTACTGGGGAGGTGGGGGCAGGTTGTCAGAACTCAGCCTAAAGAATGATGGTGAATGCGGGTGGTGGTGGCGGTGGCGGCGGTGCACACCTTTAATCCCAGCACTCGGGAGGCAGAGACAGTCTGAGTTCAAGGCCAACCCGGTCTACAGAGTGAGTTCCAGGACAGGCACCAAAACTACAGAGAAACCCTGTCTCAAAAAAAAAAAAAAAAGAGTATGATGATGAATGATGAACAATGCTTTGGGGGAACTGTGAGAGAAGCTCCAGGAAAAAAGGCAGAGGCCCTTTTACCCAATACATTTTGTTCCCTGGTTTGTTCGTGGAAGTGATTTCGTGCCTCCTGTGACAAACATTTGCATTCAATTTGTTAGGCATGGGTTCTATAGATGTTAGGCATGGGTTCTATAGATGTTGGTCGTCAGAACACAGCTACAGGACCCAATCTGGCCAGTGCACCCTGGATCTGGACCTGGTCTCCTGCCCTGCTCTCATGCTTTCCCAGATACAATCTATAGTACGTGCCAGGCAATTGTGTTTAAGTTGGTCTGTTCTGAAAAAGTTCTGAGGATGGGTTAATATTTAGTATGTATTTACTGGCATTTATTCACACATTTTTCTGAACTCAAACAGCCTTCCTTGGATCATTTCTTTCTTTGTTCCATTCATGTCTACAAGTACACTAAAACTGAACTAAAATCGTCTGCAGCATTAGACTGTAGTCTAGTCCATTCTTTAAGGTCCTCAAATCCCAGGTCTCCTAGACAGATCTGCATAGGTCGACAAAGGTCGACAGCAGGTGGATCTCTGAGTTTGAGAGCAGCCTGATCTACAAAGTGAGTTCCAGGACAGCCAGGGCTATAGAGAAACCTGTCCTTAAGAAAACCAAAACAAGCCAGTTGTGGTGGCGTATGCTGGTAGGATTTGCTGAAGAGGCGGCGGCAGGAGGATCATGAGTTTGAGGCCAGCCTGGGCTACACATTTAAGGGGTTGGGGGATTTAGCTCAGTGGTAGAGTGCTTGCCTAGCAAGCACAAGGCCCTGGGTTCAATCCTCAGCTCCAAAAAAAAAAAAAGAAAAAGAAAACCAAAACAAAAGAGTGGACAGCACTGCACAACTCTTCCCTGAGCTTTGAGACAAAACTCTCCCTACTTAGACTAGGTCAAACGTGAACACAGCTCACGGTGGCCTCCAACTCATGAGACTGTTGTGACAATTAAAATGAAAAATCCCTTCCCTACTCCCCTCCCCGCTTTCCCTTTCCTGTGTGGGACTGAGCCCAGGGCCTTCACAGGCACATGTTCTCCAACTAGCTTGCCCTTTCACTGTGTCACGCCAGCTGGCCCAGAACTTGCTAGATAGACCAGGCTGCTTTGAATTCATAGTCTGCCTCTGTTACCATCCCTGGCTACACTTTCGTGATGCTTAGAACTGCATCCTATTACTCAGCTTACGCCTGTGCTAGAACATGCAACTTCAGCAAGTCCAGGTATTAATTATGGTATTTTCTCTTCACTCACTCAACAAACATTTGTAGGGACCCTATGAAGTGTCATCTACCGGGGTATTCCCAATTGTAAGCTTCTTGAGGGTTAGGAGCAAACTGTCTTGCTCATTCCTACCAGTCTCCTGCCCTGCTTCCCCAAATCAAACCAGGATACCCTTCTGGTCCTGACAACCAGGGCATCCTAGAAGTCCAATGGCTCCTACCTACAAAACATTGCCTACGTTTTCCACTTTTTCCAATGTCACAGCTAAAACCCTAATTCAAGTCATTATTAATTTTAAGCCTGAACAATTGTATCACCTTCCTGTCCTGGTTATTTTGTTCCCTACTTGATTCCTCATACCCCAGAGTTAATTCATTCTCTGACTGTCTGTCTGTCTGTCTGTCTCTCTCTCTGATAGGGTCTCTCACTATGTAGCTCTGGCTGGCCTCAAATTCACAGAGCTCAACTTGTCTCTGCCTCAAGCGCTGCAACCACCCCCAGCTAATCATCCCGTTGTCAATGCTATTTTAGGGAAATAAATCAGGCCATGAAATTCTTTCAACTGAAACATTCTGATGATTTCCCATTACCCTTAGAACAAAACTCACAAAGCCCATGAAGCAATGGGTGCTTTCTCCCTTGTTTCTATTTCGTCATCTTTTCTATGTTTATTCTAACTCTATGCCCACCTTCTAAGGCATTTTCCTGCTCGATCATCCTGCTTTCAGCTTCTTGAACCACACACCGCCGTCAGGTTTCAAGTACTTTGTCTAGAAAGCTCCCCTGGAGTTCTTTCTCATCTCCACTTAGCTAATTTCTGAGCCTTTCTAGTTGGCCATACCGTGTAGGTCCCTTTTAGAACCTCCTCTGCCCTAGTCACTGCACATTTGTACGCTATTGTGGGCTCGTTGTCTGGATCCTCCTGAGAGTGCAAGCCTCGGAGGCTAGGGCAGAGACTACGTGTCTGTCTGTAAGAGTCCCGTACAAAGTAGCGTTCAATAGGGGTCAGGAAGAGGGGAGTCAGTGCGGCGGCGAGCATTTTAAAATGGTGCTCTTTATGTAAGCAACCCTAACGGCATTCGGTGGGTTGTTTTAAAAAGACATGACAGCAGGGCACGTACGGGGCGGTGGTTCCGAGAGACTGGAGGTGGCTAAGAGGGAGCGGGGGCGAATATGACCAAAACTGTCATATTCACATGGGTTTACATGAAACTGTCAAAGATAAACTTTTAAAAAACACAGAAGTAAAGGGACGCTCTTAAAAAGAAAACAAACCAAAGCAGGCTCCTTAAGCACAGGAGCCTCCACCTTCCAGCCCCGGCGCCCTGCGTGCTCCAGCCCCGGCCGAAGGCCGCCTGCTCGCCCGATCCGGATCTCGTCGCCTGTCACCTCAGAGCTTCGCGCCTCTCTCCCTCAGACCTCAAACCCCTCGCGGACACCCAGAGTCCCTCACACGCCCAAAGCCCGCGACTACTCACCCAAGACCCGGTCCTCTTCCCGGTCCACGCAGGAACGCGCCAAAAATTACAACTGGACTCCGCCCCACCTCTGACGTCACGCGCTCGTCTGTGGAGGACGCTCTGATTGGCTACGCCGGAATTGTACGATGACACTGATTCTGGGAGGGGGTAAAACACCGCCTCTCAGTAGAGCAACCTGATTGGTGTAGGTCACCAGGCGCCATCTTTGTTATGGGCAAAGAATTTCCGGCTGGTGAATCCTCAGGTTCCTGGGACTAAAATAGAGCGTCTAGCGCCCTCTAGCGCGGAGAAGTTCAAGCGTTGTTACCTTCTCCTGAGCTGCAGGGTTTACCCCTCTCCGTGAAGTTTATGTAAGAACTACAGAAGCCTAGACTTCTACCTAACGATGCTCACTCCTCTCCTCACAGGTTTCTCTGTCCGAACCAGCTTTGCTGATCTTGTGTCCGTCCAGTTTAGATATTAGGATTTAAATACAGAGAGACGGAAGTTTCTACTTTTCACTCTGACATACATACAGAAACCAGTATCTCTTCAGATTTTGTTTCACCATCTGTAAAATGAGGGAGGACTAGATGATATTTTTGGACTCAGAAACCAATATTCCTAGAATAGTGCAGATTTGGGGAACTAGGATTTATATCAAGAGTTGAGAATAATTAGATCATTCTTTAGCAAAATTCAAACTTTATGTATTTACATCCTAGAATGTGTTGATACATAGTACTAAAGAAGTTTCCAAATGCAGAATATTTAGCCTCCATAATAAGAAATACTTCCATGTACAATTTTGTTTGAGACAGGGTCTCTCCATGTAGCTCTGGCCTGGGACTTTCTATGTAGATCAGGTGAACCTTGAACTCACAGAGATCCACATGTCTCTGCCTCTCACATGCTGGGATAGAGTGCTGGGATTAAAGGCATGAGTCACCTTGCCCTCCTTGCTCTTTTATGACAGTATGTAGCAGGGCCTGGCGAGTCTCAGGATTCCTCCTCCTCCTCTTTTTCTTTTTGTGCTGATAATTGAATTTAGGAGTTCATGTGTGCTAAGCAATACCACTCTACCACTGAGTTGTATTTGAAGCCCTGGCCTAGAATTCTTGAAACCTTTGGCCTCAGCTTTGAGAGTGCTGGGCTTACAGGCTTCAGTCACCACACCCAGTGGCAAGTGACACTATTCAGAGATTAAATTTCTCCAATTATTTTAGATAACACAGTTTCAGTATATCTATCCCTTGTGGTCATGTTCGTTTTTTTGTTTTTGTTTTTGGCATAATTAAAACTAGCTTCAAGATGACTAGAAAACAAAAAATCCTGCCATGTACGTGGTTTTTGTTGTTGTTGGTGTGTCATGGATACTAATGCTCCATTTATGAACTCTGTCTCACCATTATTAGAGCCTGAGTAATATCAGTGTGAAGAATTCACAGTCATGGAGAGACTGCAATAACTAGATCAACTAATTCTTTTTTGGGGGATGGGTTGAGACAGGGTTTCTCTGTGAGGCCTTTCCTGGAACTCACTTTGTAGACCAGGCTGGCCTCGAACTCGAAGATCCGCCTGTCTCTGCCTTCTGAGTGCTGGGAGTAAAGGTGTGGGACACCACTACCTGTCTAGATAGACTAATTCTTGTTGGTATTCTGAAGTTCCTTTCTTCTCCTTAACTTTACAGGAAACCTTTGCTTCCCATGCAATATGAGGATAATTCTAACCCCTCAAGCACAGATGGATGTGGAGAACCAAGCAATCTGTATGGAAATTGGTTTAGTGGCAATTCTAAGGAAAGAGGAGATAGTGATTCAAAAAAGAAAAATGTAGATTCAGAATCCATTGAATGTGGGATATCAGGGAGAGAGAAAGGAGGTAGAGGCAATTTAGACAGAAGCTGGCTGATAAATTTCTGACTTATACAATTGGGTATTTCTTGAGGTAATGCACTTTAGTGGGGAACATGGGAAGTACATATTTAATGGAGTCTCTTTTGGGTTTCAGAATGACATGTGTGTATGTTAGGCAGACTTTTCACTTCTGTGACAAAATACCTGAGACAACTTAAAGCAGGAAGGATTTTGGTTCTGTTGTTTCTAGACTTTGGTCGGGTACAAGGGTATGGCTGATGAGGCCAAGCATGGCGGAAAGGTATGGTTGATGAGGCAGAGCATGGAGGAAAGGTATGGCTGATGAGGCTGAGCATGGAGGAAAGGTATGGTTGATGAGGCAGAGCATGGAGGAAGGGTATGGTTGATGAGGCCAAGCTGCTCACCTCAATGCAGCGAGGAAGCAAGATGACAAGAAGGCCAAGAACAAAGTTTATCATTGCTGCACTCAGTGACCTACTTTCTCCAACTAGGCTCTGCCTTCCAAAGTGCCACCACATCCCATCAGTCTAATAAAACCTGGAATCCATCAATGGATTATTCCCCATGACCTCAAAGATACTCTTCTGAACATTGCTTCTACTGGGGGCCAGAACTTCAGTACAGGAATCTTTTGGGGAGGACACTTCATATCTAAACCCTGACACTAAGAAAGAGAAGATGAAGAAAGGACCTGGAACAGCTTGCTTCTCTTCAATCCAGGCACTGAAGAGAGGCTTCACTTTCTTTAGAAAAAAAAAAAAAACCAAAAAACAAAAAACTGGGGCCCACACAGCTTTAAAATATTGCAGGGTTTTTTTTCTTTGTGTTTGTTCTTTTAAAATAGGGTCTTGCCATTTAGCCCAAGCTGGCTTTGAACTCCTGGTAGTCCTCCTGCCTCAGCCTCCCAAGTGGTGGTATTACAAACAGGGATGCCCCATGTAGTGGTTCTTAATTTTGGGGGAGGCAGTGCTGGGGGTGCTCACAAGACCTCTTTGAGAAAATAAAAAAAACTAGTAGCTTTTTCTTTCTTTCTAGAAAAATATATACTGTCAAGAGTTTGCATGCTTTCAGTGGTTCACACAGTTTCCGGAAGCTAGTCCAGATTCCTCTAAGATGAGGGGCCTCAGGTGCCTGGCAGTGGTGGGTCGCACCTTAAATCCCAGCACCCAGGAGGCAGAGGCAGGCAGATCTCTGTGAGTCTGAGGCCAACTTGGTCTACAAAATGAGTTCCAGGAGCCTCTGGTGCAGAAGGCCGGCCAGAAACTGGGAAGTAGAGGAACCAATGACCAGAGCAGCCAGAGTGGATAGAACAGCCTTCATCCTGATGCCCCCACCCTTTATGAAACTGGGAAGTAGAGGAACCAATGACCAGAGCAGCCAGAGTGGATAAGACAGCCTTCATCCTGATGCCCCCACCCTTTATTAAACTGGGAAGTAGAGGAACCAATGACCAGAGCAGCCAGAGTGGATAGGACAGCCTTCATCCTGATGCCCCCACCCTTCATGTGGCCCTGCTCTCATCCTCAACTATTAGTTGATTGCATTTGTATGAGTTTGATTCTTTCTGGGTACTCCATTCTCTATTATCTGTTTGTTTCATTGCCAAGACTCTAGTCTTGATTATAGTTTTTCAGTATTGAGGTTGTCTGAAAACCATATATATACATACTATATATACACACATACATATATATGTATACACACAAACACAAAGTGGTTAATGCCCCAAAATAAATAATGAATACGTCTTAATAGCAAAACAGTAGCAACAACCAGAAACTTAACAAAGCTTTTGACTTCATTATTCAAAACTGTGTTGGCTACTTCAGATCCTTTTTTTTTTTTTTTTTAATTTTCCGGAGCTGAGGCCTGAACCCAGGGCCTTGTGCTTGCTAGGCAAGCGCTCTACCACTGAGCTAAATCCCCAACCCCCAGATCTTTTATAATACCCTCCCATTTAAAATTTAGATGTCACTTTGTTGATGCCCACAACATAGCTTGCTAGGATTTTGACTGGAATTACATTTAATTTATAGATTAAGTTAGAAAAACTGACATCTTGAAATTTTTATATGTATACATTTTTTGAAAATTTCATACATGAATACAATGTGTTTTGATCAGATAATCCTCCCTGACTTCCTCTGATTTCTGTCCTTTCCTGCTGCCTACTTTCCAACTAATCCTCCTGCTATGGGCATGTCTTAATGAAACCACTGAGGTCTTTAGGGGAGCTTACATGAGCACAGAGGGGAGTTATTTACTAATGTGTGGGCAACTTACCAGTGATTACATTACTAAGGAGAATGACTCCCCTTCCTCTGGCAACCCATTAACTGTCAACAGCTCTTCAAGGACGGGTAGGGCATTGTGAGCACTTTCTTCATCCGTGAAGGCATGTTCACGGGAGTCCCACCTTGTGTAGGTAGGTATTGTGCAGGTATCCACACGAGCTGTGAGTTCAGACAATGAACAGAGTATCATAGCACCCCTCCCCATCTTCTGGTTCCCCTCTGTGATATTCGCTGGGCTTTGGATTGTGTAATACAGATTCTCTGCTTCTGCTTAGTTAGTCTTCGCGCTCAACAGTCTTTCACTATTAGTCATTTATTAACAGCAGAAGAAAAACTGAAAATAAGTGTTATTCAACTACATCAGAATAAAAGAAGTCTGGGCAAAGGAATACTCAGAGTTGAAAGGACCAACTATTGAATGATAGGAAATGTTTGCTAAGCAAACTCTGTGTATGTGGGTGGCAGGTGTACAAAGTGGTTAATATCCAAAACATGCTGCTCTAGAAATGGAACAAAACCTAATAATGCAATTTAAAGATGGGCAAAGGACTGACTGGAGTAGACAGACATGTCTTCAAAGACTCACCAACAGGTATATAGAAGTCTTAAAATAACTGACCACTGGGAAAATGCAAAGCCAAACGGCAGTGATATATATCTCATCTGTTAAGAAAGCCATTACCAGAAAGACAAAGAACGAAAACAACAAATGTTAACAAGGATGTGGGGTTGGTGAGATGGCTAAGTTGGTAATGTGCTCACTGTGCAAGCCTGGCAACCTGAGGGGTTTGCTAAGAGTAATTTTGATTGTCAGCTTGAATGGATTGCTAAGAGCCCTGGAGATTGGTAGCTCTCCCGAGTTTCCAGAGAGGGATAGAGTGGCACTAAACATAAGCAGCATACCCGGCAGGTGGGGAGCCCGTGGGATCAGGCATCTCTCTCTGCTCCCTGGCCTCCATGGTGTGAGCTGCCCAGGTCTACCATACCTGACCCGAATTAAGCACCGAGCCAAACACAAGCTTTCTTCCTCTCCAATTTTCTGACAGATGTTTGTCACAGTGACAAAAGTCTGATTAACACGTGCAGATAATCATGCTATTAACACATGGATGATGACCAGGCATAAAAATAACATGCATAAGCTGGGTATGGTGATGCATGCCTTTAATTCCAGCAGTCAGGAAGGAGGAAATAATCTTTGTGAGTTTGAAGCCAACTTGGTCTACATAGTGAGTTCCAGGACAACCAAGGCTACATAGTGAAAGCAGGTCTCAAAAAAACCAAAACAAGAAAAGGAAGAAAGAAAATAGCATGCACATAGGCCCTATAACTTGTAGTAACTGGTAAGATGGAACAAGGCCTTAGAACAGAGAGTAGATTCAATAAACCAGATAACACACACAGCATTTACAAGTTGTTTACTATACAAATCATTGCAGCCACTATTCTGTACAGTAGATCACTACAGCATCTCTCTCCTGAGACTTCATACCCTTTGATCACATCTTCTCCCCCTTCTCACACCTTCCCTCATGTGCTGCTAACCACCATTCAGCTCTCAACATCTGTGAGTTCAATTTTTTCAGAGTCCACATATAAGTGAGATCATGTGGTATTTATGACTGGCTTATTTCATTTAACATGATGTCCTCCAGGTTTATCTATGTTAAAGTAATAAGATTTCCTTATTCTTAAAGGCTGAATACTACTTCATTATATATGTATATTGCATTTCTTTAGATGATGGACACCTAGGTGCACTGTTTCCTAGCTACTGCAGAAAATGCTGCTACAAAGATGGTGTACAGACATCTCCCCAATTGTCTTCATTTGAACTTGCCTTCACCTCTAACCCTCTTCATGATCAAACAAATGGCCTTATCCAGACCACTGAGTTCTCACTTCACAGTTTGGATTTATCAGATAATTATACTTGAACAAATTGAAAGGATTTTCCCAGTAACTTCATTGTGAAACCATTTGGTTTCCTCCTCTATCTGGGATACTATAGAAACCTACTTTATCTAGTATAAAATCATAAAGAAATTTGTACTAGAAACTATAAGAAAAGAAAAAATTTCACTGTCATTTTAGAAATGTCATTAACAAACATTGTCTCTGGGGTGCAAGTGGGAGAATCAAACCCAACCACTGCTGAACCAGTACAGTGTTCCACTGTCTTGCAGTGTGGGAAACTGTTCAGGATGGAGATAACTGTAACTTGGATAGGATGTCCCCTTGAGATGAAGCAACTGTTTGGACTCTATTTAAATACACAGCTGTGTGTATTTAGAGATCTCATGGTTAAACAAAAACAAAGCAGACCACCTCATGTTCTCTTAAATGTTTTAGGACTTGATACTGTTTACTTTTGTGACCTGTTTAGTTCTTGCTAGCCTTTTTTTTTTTTTTTTACAGAAAATATGGCGAATCCCTATTTATTCTATGTAGCCCTGGCTGGCCATGAGCTGGTGATCTCCTGCCTCAGTTTCCCATGTGCTGGAATTGCAGGTGTGCTTTGCACCACCATGCCTGACTCTGTTCACCATTTTAGCAGGAATCTCATTTGAACATGTGATGACCCCCTGAAAAGGATCTGCTCCTGTTATCATGAATAAAACATTTCAGTATTAAGGTTATATTAATAACCTTAATATACATACTACAATGTTACTGGTCATATATGAGCCATGGGATAGACTTGTAGCAAAATCTTATTTCGTGATAACTGATGTCTGTAAGCTTCTACTTCATGTGGGAAGCAAAGAGCTGCCCTATTTAAAATTAAACTATGTGCTATACTAGCCCATACACCTCCAGTACAAAAAAGACTGAAGGTGTGGTCACACTGACCAGCTGTAGGAAAGCACTCCACTCCTGAGCCGCATTCCCAGCGCTCACCTGGTCTGATAGCAACAGAAAGCTCACAGTGCTAAGGCAGAGAGCCAGATGGAAGCTTCTGAATAATTACACATAAACAACAACATGTCTGTAGGTGAAGACTTGCCTAGAAAAGTGCTCCAGACACATTTCCCGACCATTTCACTTTGCTGTCTCGTAAAGGTTCTTAACATATGTCATTCCGGCTGACTGCTCTCAGTGACTCTCGGGAGGGAAGTCACTGGATCTCTGATTGGAAGGGTGGTAACTAGGTTCTACTTTGTAAGTTCATGTTGGTCCAGAGATGGTCTCCTAAGGACGGGTACATTTTCTTTCTCCTGAAATAAGGATAATGTGGCAAAAATATCCGTGTGACAACAAATAAAACAGAAGTACAAGTCTTGGGGGAGAAATCTGGCATTTACCAACAGTTTGGGGAGCTGAAACAACGCTCAAATGATGCAGTCCATGACATGGATCTGCAGTGTGTCAATGTCCGGCAGAACTTCTCCACATTTGGGGCAAGAGTGAATCGGAATACTCCGAGGCTGCTGCTGTCCCCAACTCATGTCCTCGGCTCCTGGGAATAAACAAGTGGTGACATGTGCCATCAGTTCCATCTCAAGAGCACTTTGGCCTGAATTTCGTAACAGATGGTTAATGTGAACATGTGTTAAACTTAGTAATCAGTATCTGGTGGGATGCAAATGCATACTTTTGGGTCATTAGTGGAAATTATGACTATGCACACAGAAAAATCTAGAAATAGTAACATTTAAACTGCATCTCAAGCTCAAGGTCTGTGAAATCATAGTTTCAATTCTAGATGCAGGACAAGACACATTCTATTAAGAATTAAGTCCACAAGAGTAAGAGGTGGATGGGATATAAACAAAAGAGTGATTAAACAAGCTGGGGAAGGTTTCCTGGAAGGACATGCCCATTCTCAGAAGCAGACAACCACCTCCTTTATTCAGTAGATGGGGAACCCTCCAGGATGTATGAAAGTACCACTCTGTGCTGGGATATCAATGAGGTGGGGAAGCCAGGTGAAAAGGCAGCAGGTACAGCCTCAGGCACGGGGGTTCAGCACGATTAGGAGGAGGGCCCCTGGCTCTGCAGAAGGCCTTGTGGGTATGACGCATCTTTCCAGAGGCTCATGCACTGGTCCTTGGATGGCAGCACTATTGTGGGTGGGAAGGCTGTGGGACCTTTAGAAGGTGTCGCTTATCTGGAGGAAGTAGGTCGGTGCGTGTGTGCTGGGGCTCTGGGGTACCCTGACCCTGTCCTCATCTTTGCTTCCTGTCCACCATCATGTGAACAGCATCCTCCTCCACATGTTCCCACTGCCATGATGTTCTTCACAAAACGTATTTGAAATGCGTCCCAACTCTAAGTAGATCTTTGATCAAAAAAAAAAAAAAGTTGCCATTAATGCTGAAAAGTGCTTCTGCTTCCAGGGCATCTTTATGCGACCTTTATGGACCACATTTTTGGCTTTTTAGAGTCTTAGACTAGTAACTGGTTCAGCGCCCAAGCATCATTTTTGGAGTATGACAAAGAAAATGGCCTTTAACATATGTTTGCTTCAAAGCACACTGCTTGAATTTATGACACAGAAGACTATTACATGACTTGTGGTGAGCAAGTTTCGGGCTTTTTTATTGATTTGTTTGCAATACTGAGGGTCGAACTAGGGCCTCAGGCATGTTCAGCAAGCTCACTATCACTAGAGCAAGAAGTGTGGGGTAGGGGTGAGTGGGTATAGATTTTTGTATGCACATATGTGTGTGGGTATGCTCAACGGTGCGTACACGAGTGGAGGCCACAGGTTGACGTCTAGTGTCTTTCTCTGCCATACTCCAACCTAACTTTTGGAGACAGGTTAGCTTTTATCCCCTGATGCTGAAAGTGCCCGGGTTAATATTTATGTCAGGCCATGTGTTACCTATCTCCTCTACACATGCTCCATGAACGCATAGGTTTATTGTTTGGATTTATTTTGTGATTTAGGACTTTTGTTTTTAATCAGTATATGCACGTATATGTAAAATATTCATTTTATTATTTTTCTATTCATGTATGTTTGTATGTGTGTTGTGTGTGTTCAGGTGCTTACAGAGACCAGAAGGGGTCAGATCCCCTAGAGCTGTAGTTCCAGGCAGTTGTGAGTGTCCTGATGTGGGTGCTGGGACCTGAACTTGGGTCCTCTGAAAGACCAACAAGTATTCTTAGCTGCTGAGTCATCTATCTAGCTCCTTTATCAATGCATATTAATTATTCAAAACAGTGGGTTTCACTGTGATACTTTCATACATGCATATTAATCTTTGTTTTATTTATTTATTTGTTTTTATTTATTATTTATTTATTCATTCATTCATTCATTCATTCATTTATTTATTTATTGAGAAAGACTAGCCCAGGCCTGGAGTTCTCAATCTTCCTGTCTCTGCCTCTCAAGTACTGGGATTACAGGCATAAATCACAACACTTGGCTGCTAAACTTATTTTTAACTTATTTCCTATAAACAGACTTTGCTGGGGGGCGTAGGGAAGGAGGGAGGGCCAGACAGAGAGGAAATACAAAGTGGCATTCAGAGAGACTGCCCCCGGATTTAACAGTTTACCATATATGCTGAGGTTTCGCTGCCGCCGATTAAACTGTAGTACTACATAAGCAGTCAGTTGTATGTGTGATGGCTAGTTTTCATTGTCATCTTGCCATAATCAAGAGTCACCTGGGAAGGCAGTCTCAGTGAGGGACTGTCTAGATCAGGCTGGCCTGTGGGCATGTCTGTGGGAACTGTCTTGATTATGTTGTGGGAGCACCATTCCTGGGGTTTGGGTCCTGAGTTAGGTAAGCATGGAAAGAGCTAGCTGAGTTCTAGGCATGCATGCATTAACTTTTCTCTGCTCTTGACAGTGGCTGTGAGGTGACTGTTTCAAGTTCCTGCTGCCCTCACTATCCTGCAATGATGGATGATAGCCTGCCTGGAAACGTGAGTTAAAATAACCCTTCCCTCTAGAGCTTTTGTTGGGGTATGTTATCACAGCACCAGCAACAAAAGCCAAACAGAATGTGAAAGGTGAAAGGCACCTGGGATGGTCTAGTACTTAACCTTTTTTTTTTTTTTCCCAGAGCTGAG